ATCACGGTAATGCACTTAAAGTGCATTCATTTTGACTTAAGTCAAATTCTTTACTTAGCTGCTAAGTCGAACTTAAGTTCTGCTTCCTGAAACAGACTTAAGTGAAAAATTAAGTTTGACTTAAGTGGCACTTAACTTTAACTTAGTTTTGGACTTACATCATTCACTTAAGTCAGACTTAAGTTTTTTTATGAAACCGGCTATCGTGAATTGTGCGTTATTTGTCAATATATTTTAAGAGATTAATTGTATCAACGACGTCATCAACTGTTTCAATCGTTGTTTTTCGTTGTTGTGTTCTACATCAGTTGGTATTTGAATTGTGCTGCAACATAAATCATTCATTTTCACAAATCGTTGTACAGGTAATGAATTGTTATACAGAAGGAAATTTAGGTGCAAAAATTCAATGAGGAAAAATAGGAAATGTGAGCATTTTGCAAGATTTGTTAGGCTTATCTCAACTGAGCATTTTTTCTGTATTTTATTTTACATAAAAATGTGTTTTTCTTCTCTTCAGATACTTCCATTATGGACTCCGAATTAACAAAAGCTTTTTTTACACATAGTGTTGTTGCTGCCGCAATTAAATTCAACACAAAAAATTTCCCGTCAAACTTATATCCATCACACACTTTAACACAAACGACACAACAAGAACAGCAAGTTATGATGGTAAATGAAAGCAAAGATGAAGAGTTAAATTTTTTTAACGCCCTGGCATTGTTGTTAAACAAAAAAGAAGATTGTACAGCCCTGTGGCTGGATAAAGAAGAGAATACTCTGTTTATTGGGAGAAATGAATCACCCGATGACGGCGATGCACAATATATAAACAATTTTATGACGTTGCTACAGGTTTATGCTGCAGCCAATGCTTCAGCTGAAGAAAAATTTATTCAATGCAATACTGGAAAAGTTCTTCGGTCGTAAGTATTAGGTTATTCGTCGACAAAAATTTTCAAGCGGATAACCAAAAAGAAATATGTAGCAGTGGTTGAACATATAACAAAATTTCACGATGCTTATTACAATGATCATAGTAGATTAAAACAATTAATAATTGAGAATCAGTTCATGTTATCTCTTAAATCTTTATGAGTTGAAGAGCGAAGTATTTCCTTCTTCATCTTTATTGGGCAGATAGCTTCACGCAAAGCTCAATAGACAAACTATAAATACAATACAAATACAAAGATAACCTCATACATTGATTAGAGTTCTTATTGGAGTTTGCCCGCTATGGTGCTGTGTGACGCTGTTGCTCCCGCAAAGGCGATGTGGAGTCTATGGGATTAAATTAAATTAAATATATAGTCTATGGGATTAATAGTGAGCTGCAAAATGGAATTGCACGAGAATAGGAAATAATTGTATTGTAATATCAAGAGTCGCTTTTGAAACCGGGAAGTTTGACCAATTCGAAGCACATCCTGTTACTTACCATTATGTCCAATTAGTGTCGTATCTAAATATTGCTTATTATTGTTCTTGATTGAAATGACACTACTTATTTTGTGATACCTAGTGGTACAAGAAAATCATCCATATCAAAGTAATTTGTCAGATCTTGATTCTTAATAAAAGAAAATCGTTTATACAATTCAATCGTTTAATGCTTATCCAATACTTCAGTCTATTTTAAAAAGACTGTACAATAACGAAAACATCTAATTATCCTTTCACTAAAACACATATAACATGTGCGAAAAAATTGTCCACTTTTTGCAGCAGCGTAGTGACACTCCATAGTACACTCCTCGTTATCGTTTGCTATTCACTCTATTCCGTTATATCTTTATAATTGTTATATAACGATCTGATAATAGTGGATGATAAAAAGTAGAGATTAAACAAAAAATATTTGATGGATGAGTATAATAATTATTTGTTTCAACAATTGAATAACAAAAACGAATTTGATAATTTCTTAACGATAGTTTTAAGTGAAATGAATGTATTATATCTAAGCTTTATTATCTGCCTGTTGTATTCTCGTATGAATAGAAACAATTGACTAAAATTCGTATTCGTTGTGGAACTTAAATTATACCTATAATTCTCCATCTACTCAAAACAACAACGAATAACAACTAATTTACAGGATCTGTATATATTTTACCCAGCAACTAAAATTCATAAGCAACTGACAGATGCTTGCGATGTACGACTATCTTCTAAGCAGATTGCGAGGAAATTTTGATGTACTTCAAGTTGTTCGACATGAAGAAGAATTAGTTTTTTAAAATTGTTTTAAGAGTGTGCATTTGCAGCCGTTGGAGAACCAAAGAGAAGAATCATATCCGTTTCTGTTTTGAACAGCATATTCTTCTCTTTCAGTTGTTGCTGAACTATTTCATTGTAGATTTAAACCGGAAGTTCTGACAATTGCATGTCCACGGCAATAATGTATGCGTAGGAAGATGTCTATAAGAAGTATACAACCTCCTCTACTTTTAGGTTTTTTCTCATATTAAATTTTTCTGAATATCCACATTTGTGCGATATGTTAAAGATATGAGAAAAAGATAATATAACGACAGCAGAAGTTCATTCTCTTAAAATAAAGACTCTTAAGGACTGTTTTCAGTTGATTTTCACTTATATTCCTTTCTTCCAAATATCAAGTTATAAACAAAAAACAACTGAACTTTAATATTTGAGTTTGCTTTCGTAATTTTTCTTTCAGAAATCAGTTTGCAGAATGCTAGCCATCTATTGTACTGTAAATCATGACAGTCGTCTTAGCGACTTATAGTCAGTCGCTGCAAATCACTTGAGCAACTAATGCAAGCGCGTCAGTCACCTTTTGGACTGGCAGCGACTGAGTATATGTCTCATTCGGAACAGCGACTTATCTATTGCTACTTATCTGTTGAGACGAGACTGATCTTCGAAATACAGAAGAAAAACTACTTTTCGTTCTAGAAGTTGGCTCAGCTTCAGAACAATAAGTCTCATAATTTAAATTCTAAATTTTCATTGTTTTGAAAATAAGTTACGTCACTAGTAGCTCGGCTTATCCACTTGTGTTGTGAATCTCGTTAACTACGCATCCTTTCTCTGGTTAGAGCATTTTCACATGTTAGACCTACAAACAATATGAAGAACGCTCGAGAATTAAAGTAAAATTATGAATCTTTTATATTTTTTACAGCTTTCTGACATGAAAAACTATCTGGTACACATTTAGTTGCAAAAGATGAATGGTACGCGTCACAGTGGGCATTTTTCCATAGAGAAAGCGGACATCTGTTTTTTTTGAGTTAAAAAATGATTATTTTCTCGTAGTATGGTCTAATTATGCGTCAGATATTAATAAAACTAAAAAAACTCTCTTTTCGATAAAAAATTCTTAGGGGGACCCTTGCCCTGAATTCTTGTCAAAAAATACTGTATTTGCAAAATTAATGTAAATTATACATCATTCGGTGAAGTTTTTTATGGTGATCCCAAATATCACATTAATTCTCAATAAAAATGTTTCTCGACGGAGTAAATTGGCAAATACCTCAAAACCCAGGATTTTCGGAAAAACCTACAACTCGACTTTGATAAATATGTGCATTTATGTGCATCCACATTAGATGCAGTAGATGTTGAAGAACATTTTGAACTAATTTTCAGCTATCTACCGAGGTGGATGCAGGCGGATACCTCATTGCAATCATGACACCTGCTCCCAACATGCAGTCATCGATGAAATCCTTTTTTTCCCTCTTCACTTTTAGATACAAATCGGAATAGTTTTTTTACCGACGTATAGCTGAGAATGTCTTGATTCCGAATACATCTATTTCAAGTATATAAATTAACATTGTTTCATAAAAAATCGGTTTTTCGTTAGATATCTCTGATATACCTGATATACGGCTTATTTTTTCCGTATGCATTATCTCCGAAAGTTCACTACTTGGAACAAAATTTTTGCGCCATTAAATAGACCATCTGTCTCAGTATCTTCGACACTATCACTATCTGAATTTTGAAAAGGCGTATTTCCGTTTTTTTCTGCATGGATGCCCACTGTGCACGTGCCAGACACGTTTTCGACTGAAAGCTGTCAGTCGAACGGCTGACACACCGTTGACAACTTCATGGGGCGAGACGCTTTTCTGACCACCATTATATGTCGGAAAAACGTCTGACTATAAGTCACTCAGGTGACTGTCACGATATACAGTGTGGGCATCACTTTTACGTCTTTCCACGTTGGTAATGCCCTCTGACGAATCCCTGAAATAATTTATTGGTGATTGAAACGAACAAATGAAAAAACGGTTCGCGAACTCTTCGTATTAATAATTAATAATGATTTTATATTAATTGTTAAAGTTAAATTTGTCAAAGTACCCAAAGCTCATTGAATTGTGCGTTATTTGTCAATATATTTTAAGAGATTAATTGTATAAATGACGTCATCGGCTGTTTTTTAATCATTGTTTTCTGTTGTTATGTTCTACATCAGCTGGTATTTGAATTGTGCTGCAACATAAATCATTCATTTTCACAAAATTTCTATAGGTAATGAATTATTATACAGAAGGAAAAAAAGAAACTAGTGTCACAACATATGCTGAATTTATTAATGTTTCTAGTTTTTTCTGAACACATACATATAGGGAAAAATAGATTAATGGATGAGAGTAAAGATGGTACATAAATGATTCAACAAGTCATGAATGAGTTGGAACATTCCAATTTTCTTTTGTCTCATTATTTTATCAAGTTGCATAGCGTCAAAATGGAAAAGAATTTCACAGCTGTTTTTCCCGCAGTGTATTCTTATTGTTTGAGAATGTGTTTTTATCCTGTTCTTGTGAGATATGATGCATCACAATCTTCGCTCGTAGGCATTGTAAAGTGTAGCTTGAAATTAGTTTTGTATCATGTTTTTCTTCTTTGAATTTTGGTTCTTTTTCTGAGAGTTTGAAAAAAATAATATTAAAATGAATCATTTACAATTTTGCGTTAATTCACGAATTCTCCGTTGTGAATTATTCCACTAGAAGAATAGAAGAAAAAGAGATCTTTTTTTCTCAGTCCGGAAACACTTTTAAGAAAAAACCAAGTCATATTTGGTATCAGCGCGCATCGAGTTGCATCGAATTACGTATAACAATAGGTTTTGAATAGAAAAAATATTCATATTCAATATTGCTTCTAAAGTGATAATTTATCTAATTAGAGGAGATCATTTACTTCTTCACTTGTTTTAGATTTTTTAATTTATAAAAACAATTTTGAACAAAAAAAAGTATTAAAAAAATTTAAAATGGATACAAACGAAACATTAGCCAAAATGGATGTCGATGAACGTCGTGCACGAAAGATGATGACTTTAACTCGTCGTGAAGATGAACGCAGAACAATTGAACAAGTAAACAAAGAAGAACGAAAACAGATAACATCAACAGATGCTGGTAGAAAAAATTTTGATGTTCAATATCCAGAAATGAAAAATACATTAGAAAAAATGTTAGAAAAAATTCGTTTATCAGATGAAAAGATTAATGATCAATCATCATTAACAACATCATCTACCACCCATAACGAATTGCAACAAAAAGAATTTCAAGGTATAGCAGATAAAATACAAAATATGGAAAAATTCATAAATGAGCATATTGATATATTACGTACTCGAGACGTTGCCAATGCTCAATCAGATGTAACGAAATATCGTGAACAATTAAATTTACTATGTGATCGTACAGTAACGAATAAAAAATTCGGTTTTACAGGAAATCGTTCACCATCGGACAATTCCGTACCGTTATCGAAAGAAACTGGTACAATAAAATTTATGAATGGTGGTTTAAAAGCAGTGGATAAAGATGTTGATACAAATAAACAAATATCAACAACAGACACAACAAAAGGAATCACATCAGTAAATACTGTCAATATATCGAATAAACATGGTGAATTTATACAATATGAAAATGATGATTTAAATGGTAAAGATGTTGCCATTGAAAATTTAGATCAATGTGAAATATTTTTGAAAGGTTATCCATCATCATTACAAATAAAAAATTTAAAATCCTGTATATTAATTGTTGGTCCATGTTCACGATCGATATTAATTGAACAATGTAAACAATGTGAATTTGCTTTTGCATGTCAACAATTACGTATACATACAACATATGAATGTGATTTTTATGTTCATATAACAGCTAAAACAATTATTGAAAATTGTTCATCATGCCGTTTTGCACCCTATAATGTTTATTATGAAAATAAACAAAATGATGTAAAAAAAAGTGGTCTTATATGGGATAGAGACTATTGGAATGATATTGTCGATTTTAATTGGTTAACACCTGGAATACAATCACCAAATTGGGAAACAATTATTGAAGATGAAAGAAAAGAATGGTCATTAGATGCGACATCTTAATAATTACAAATGATAATATTTAGTTGTGATAATATCATATATTTCTTTATCTGTTTTTCTTTCTTAATTATCAATTTTCAACAAAAGTCATCCATTACTCGAAAGAGAAATTTACCCTTGTACTATTCTAACCAATATTTTTTGATCTATTTTTTTATTTAAAAAGTACGAGCGAATAAAAAAGAATGTTTTGTTTTCTCTCATTTTTTATTAACTTGTTGTAGTAAGTAACCAGCATTATCTAAGTTCTTGAATTATACTTTGTTTCATCGAATCCTGTAATAGTCTTAAATGTTGAACATTTTACTGTATGTTCCATTGACATTCCATTGGAGCATTACATGTTTTGAAACCCTAGACTTTTTTCTCTTCTCTTCAGTAAAAAATCATGCTTTCTAACACTAATAACAGTTCTGAATTGAAAAATCTGTCTATGGACGTTCTGTTGAATAGTTTAAATGTTTTTGTTTTTTGTGTTGCATATGTGCTGTCCGTAATATTGCCATTATTAGTTATTTTCTTTTCTTTAATAAAAACAATCAGATCTACCTGTTTTTTTTTTAAATATTTCTACAATTTTATGTCTTCTCAAAGTTATGGATAATATCAATGAGAGTCTTCTTCCTTATTTTTTTTTTCTTTATTTCTCAAGACACTATCTACTTCTTATCCTGTTTTTGATAATATTTTATCAAAGTATGTTTGTATGCTCATTGTAATGTTGCTTTTTAATATGTCTGATATGTAAATGTTGTTTGTATCTGTAATCTCTTTCTAAATACCTAGCTAAAAATAAGTTTTGCATTTAGTAGTTCAATTCAATTTTAGAGTGATAATGTTCTGATATTTGCATATGAAAAATAAACAGTTAGTAACGTATCTATTTTGAGAAAAATTAAGATTAATTTCGCTTGCAATTTTAACCTATTTATTATTTAAACGTGAGACAATGTAGTTATTCATGCTTTTGCGCTTTAGTCATGCGAAACAAAAATGATGTCAATGTTTTGATGTTTGTTTTTTTCTACGCACATGAAATTGTCCTTTTCTTTTTTTGCTCTCCTTTTTTTTCACGCTTTTTTTCTCTCTGTATCTCTTTCAATTTTTTTTTTAAACTGATGCCATTATGAAAAAGCGGTTATTACGATGTATTTATAAGAAAAAGAAGCAACAATTTAAAAATAAAATAAATAAAGTGTCTGATAAAGTAATGATCATACTATTTCAGATTTTGAGAAAGGCTTACCAAAGGATACAAAAAAATAAAATAAAACAACATATGATTTAATGGAAAGAAGGAGATTGTGTTGTGAAATAAAAGCCTCTTGGATTTCGGCCATTGTCATCGGAAATGCTTTAAACGCATGCTCGCGTGGTATGAAGGTATTTTTTTAGAAAGAAAAGTTATTAAATTATAATTATATTGAGGATTGAACTAACACAGGTATTCATCTTTAATTTTCTCTGTATATAGATAGCAAAAATAAATTTATTATATACGAATACTCTGTCTATTCATCATTCTTTTCAAATTTGTTTTAAATTCCAAAATATTATATGAACTAGACTGCTTTACTTTTTGCGAATAATCTCTTGCTCTAAAGCGGCCACAGTTTGTATAAATGACAAAAAATGACTCAATTATAGATGTAAAACTGTTGAATATATTTATGTTATTCTTACTGTAGATATCTTGAAGGCATCACAATACATACAAATATGACAACTGATCCAAATCAAGATGTACCATTAGTGTCATTAAAAGATTTTGACAAAGTAGCTATTCTTGACGCCGGTTCACAATATGCCAAAGTGATTGATAGACGTATTCGCGAATTAGCTGTCTATTCTGAGCTCGTACCCCTAAATACTTCAGTTGAAGTATTATTACAACGAGACTATAAGGCGGTCATTATCTCGGGTAATTAATCAATCATTTTCATTTATTATGTTTAGATTTAATTCAGATTTCTGATTCAATTTTAGGCTCTCCTGGCTCAGTAAATGATCCATCACCAGCCGCCTATGATCCATCTCTATTTCATTGTGGTTTACCTATCCTTGGTATCTGTTATGGTATTCAAATGTTAAATAAAGATCGTCATGGAACCATAAAACGACAGGTTGTTAGGGAAGATGGACAATTTGAAGTTATCTTAGATACAAAATGTGCCCTATTTAAAAATATGAAAGAAAAAGAAACTGTCTTATTAACACATGGTGATAGTATTGAAATATTGGGCACTAATCTTGTCTCTATTGCACAATCTGAAGCATTTGTTGTTGCATGTGCTGATGTCAATTATGAAAAGACGCCAATATTTGGTGTACAATTTCATCCAGAAGTCGACCTAACGGATAACGGTGTACAAATATTTAAAAATTTTTTATTCGATATAGCACATTGTAAACCGAATTATACGATGGGAAGTCGTATCGATGAATCTTTCAATATGATACGATCATTTATTAAAGAACAACCTGTCTTTGTTTTATGTAGTGGCGGAGTAGATTCAACAGTGTGTGCAGCATTATTAACACGTGCACTACCGGCTGACCAGGTATCTAATTATTATACTATTTTAGAATTAGACTTATATACATTAAATCGGATTAGAATATTTTTCTCTAAATATAAAACTACAATATTTTATGCTTTATTCCTAACAGAATTTTTTTTGTTTTAAGGTAAAAATTATAAATATTGATAATGGATTCTTACGTCATGATGAAAGTGTTGAAATACGAAAAACTTTATCCCAGTTTGCCACAGTTCATTTTCTCGATGCTAGTCAACGTTTTTATCATAGTAAAACATTTATTCGTGTAAAAGCAACATCAAATTTATCATCAACCACAATCGGTTCAATCAATAATAATCACGATGTTCCACTGTCACCACCATCATCCACAAACACTTCTGCATTAACAAATGGAAACTTTCTTAGTTTATGTGATGCTGATATATTATTAGAAGAAACATTACCATTGAATGAGGTCCTTGATCCTGAACACAAACGTAAAATAATTGGTGATACATTTGTTAAAGTTGTACAAGATTTTTTAAAAGAAAATGATTTTACATTTGATAATATTATTTTGGCACAAGGAACATTGAGGCCAGATTTAATTGAAAGTGCGTCACATCTAGCAACACAGGGCAATGCTGATGCAATTAAAACACATCACAATGATTCACCATTAGTAAGAGAATTAAGAAAGAAAAATCGAGTAATTGAACCACTAAGAGATTTTCACAAAGACGAAGTAAGACAAATTGGCTATAAATTAGGATTAAATGCACAAGTCATCGAACGTCATCCATTTCCAGGTACACTCTCATTCCATGTGTCTAGCATATTGCACACGTTTTCTATAAATTGCTGAGAAAAATTAATTTTTTAAAAGATTTAGAGGAGACAATCGGTCTTTACGTTTCTCTTTACATTTGTAATACTTGTACTTTTTTAGTATAGCTGCTAAACAGAATCGCTGTTATAATCATGCATCAAAAGCGTTCTTATATTAGTCTGCACAGAGTAAACTTTATATGAGAATTTTCTGACATACATCTTAGAAAGCAAAGAATAATAGCAGTTCTATAGTCAATAGTTGAAATAAGGCGTTCATTTCCATGTTTTCTTCTACTACATCTTTAAAACCTTCTAACTTTACTTGTATTTGTAGTCGATACACTTATGATCATACTCGGGAAAAAACTATATCACTTATCTATCTCTGCTGAGAGGCAGAGATACCATATTGCTTGTAACCAATAAAAAACTATTAGAGAATTTAGTTTTTACATTTTTTGTTTGTATTCATTTAGGACCAGGTTTATCTATTCGAATATTATGTACTGATGAACCGTATATGCCTGAACAATTTGCAAAAACCTCTACTTTACTAAAATCAATTGTAAATTATTCATCAATGTTAGAGAAACAATATTCATATCTACCAACATTAGATAAAATCTATACTGACAATGAAAAGGCAATTTTGAAAAATATTACATCATTAAAATATAATTATACATCTGTTTTACTACCGGTAAGTAATTTAAATATTTTTCTTATTCGAAAATATCGACTTGATCTTCTATTTATAGATTCGTAGTGTGGGTGTTCAAGGAGATTCTCGCACGTATAGTTTTGCAGCAGCAATTAGTTCTGATTGTGACCCAAACTGGCATAATTTATTTGTATTAGGACGTATGATAACAAAAGCATGTCATAATATTAATCGTGTTGTTTTTGTTCTGGTAAATTTTTTATTTTTATTCTCATTTTTGTTTATTGATTAATAATTAATTCATTTTTATTTTATTTTCTTATATCTTAGGGTAAAAAGATTATTGATTCTCAAATAACACAGGTAACTCGTACTACATTAACACAAGATATTATTGATAAAGTACGTGCCTGTGATTATTATGCAACAACAATAATGAAAAAATATAATGTTTATAATAAAATAAGTCAAATGCCCGTTGTACTTATTCCAATTCATTTTGATCGTGCAATATTATTAAATAATAATGAAGATGTAGTCGATGAAGAACAACAACAATTTATTGAACAAGAAAAAGCAATACCATTAACACAATCTAAACCGCCATCAAGTAGTTTTCAACATAGTGTTGTATTACGAACATTTTTAACAAAAGACTTTATGACTGGCGTACCAGCAACGCCGGGCGATACATTTCCCGAATCAATGCTTGCTGATATATGTCAGACAATCAAAGAAAATGTGCCCGGTATTAGTCGAATTTTATACGACTTAACATCGAAACCACCGGCAACAACCGAATGGGAATAATTATAATTATTTTTATTTTCTCACTCTCTTCTTTGCCGGTGATTAGATTTCAAAAACCAGTCTATTGAAAAGAGAATGTTTCCTAATTGATAAATTCTTTGTACCATGCACGTTTTTGTTTTTCTTGTGTGGAAATCTCATAGTTCGTAGTCTATTTTTCTATCACTTGTACGTGCCATTCTTGGTATATGTATTAAAATCAGGCAAATTAGATAGATCTGTTATTATTACGATTATGATTATTATTATCTAAAATTTATTTGTGCTATTTTTCCCAGCTTTTTTTTGTATTCTATTAATTTTGTTTGCGAATTAAATGAAAAAATATTTCGGTAAAACAAAAAATATATTACGAATGTCTAATATTTTCAATCTAAATTTTGAAAAATAGGAAGAAAAAAAAAACTACAACAAATAATCAGTTATTATAATGTCAGAATATAATTTTTCTAAAAGTTGTTAGTGTTTTGTATACAACTCTGAACTATTTTTTCTTATTTATATAATTTGAATAAACATAGACAATAGAGCTATAACAATGTGCAGAAGAACGATAGAAAAAAAACAATACCATATTTATACATTCGTTTGCCTCAAAAGTTCTTGCCCAAAAATAAAAGCATAAAAAAATTTTCATAGGATAAATTATGAAACACGTTTTCAGAGGCTTAGAACTAAAACAAAAAAAAAAAACAAAAAAAAATCTCGAGCACCAATAAAAAAACAAAAAAAAACAACAACCATAGACAAACTGCTAGTGGACTGAAGAGAATGAATGAACAATTCTATTCTCAATTTGTAAAGTTGAATTTATAAAAATTTGTAATTTGTTATATTCTTAGTATCTACACTTATTAGCAAAACATTTTTTTAAGCAATGTAGAATTTATTTTTACATCTAAATTCATATTATTTTGTTAATTATGAACTTTGAAATAATTAATATTCATCTTTCGATAATAAAGTTTAACATACACATACGATAGTAAATGAAAGATATTTTTCTTATCGAAAGATGAATATTAATTATTTCAAAGTTCATAATTAACAAAATAATATGAATTTAGATGTAAAAATAAATTTTTCATTCTGAATAGTGTATAAAAATGGTAAGCATTGTTAATAATTAGAAATATGCCATAATCTTTTGTATTGCACGTTAAGATCGTAAAGAAGATGCCGCAAAATGGCGTTCTTCTAGTTCAATTTGATCTTGATTTTGACCAATTTGAAATAAGTTATATAATCGTTTGAATTAGTTAAAATTTTTGTAAAAGAAAACTTCAAGTATTCGTTCAAATACATATAGCCCAGTCAGAGCTATCAAATAATAAATAGAATTAAACAAGAATAAACCGTACATTTGTTGTCACATACAAATTGTGCTACATGCATCGAAAAAAAGAACAGAGGCGACTAGTAAAAAAGACGATAAATGGCTTCGATAATAACGGCAAAAAAAAAGGCAAGTGAACAAAATTTTGGTGACGAATTGCATTATGATCTCATAAATTTTTGCTAAAAATACTATGAATCGTATAGCGTGACATCCATGCATCAATAAACAAAAAAAATAACATGATTGACAAATTAAAAAACCGGAAATACAAGCACATTTTTATGAAAAAACGACAAAAACAAAGTGGATCTGTAAGCAAGTAAAGATTTTGTTTCTATATTAATCACCGTTACATTCGAATAATGGAATAAACAGGAGAAAAAAAACAAATAAATATGATCGATGATAATTATTTGAATGAATTATGTGCATCTCTTAATTGTGAAGTAATCTAGAATAAACAAAACAAATAACGATAAATGAATAGATAGTGAAGTTAATACTTGTTTATACTCACATCTTCATAAAATTTCATTTGTTGTTCGATTAATGTTTTCATAATTTGATTAAAATCTTTTACTTTTTCACGATTAAAAAAATTTATTTCAGCTAATACAACATGATTGAGTATATGATTACGATGTATTGCATTGCTAAAATCGGACGTAGTTGGTGAACGTTGTTGAATATTTTTCATAAAATCGGCCGAATTCTAAATGAAAATGTAATCCATAAAGTTAATCCTTTACGGCCGGCTGCATAAGCCATTTAGTAACAATATTCCCTTCTGTGCATATTCCTTTTCTGTCGGCTGCCAAAAATTAACTAATAAAAATATTCCTCCCTTTATATTTATTATTTTGCTGTGACAGGAATCGGCAAAGTGTATTCTCTTAGAACGAAATTCCTTCTATACTTAATAGATGGATGTTACCGGTAGTCAACACCCGGCCGTAAAGGGTTAAATTACATATTAATTATTTACTACTACAAATAACCCGTGGAAAACCACGGACGCCCAGCATTTATATATGTTGTAAAAATTTTCTATGTTGAGCGTTCCGGACAGAAGGACAGATATGTGTATATTCTTATTCTTATTCTTATTCTTATTCTTATGTATATATGTTGAGCGTTCCGGACAGATATGTCTTGACTATTCTTATATGTAATTATCGACTTACTCGTTGAATACTTAAAATAGCTGGAAAACATTGTACAATACCAAGATATTCTTGAATATGTTCAAGAAAATCTCGTAAACCACCATTAGCCTAACAGAATACAAAGAAACATTTACAGTACTTACAATAAAAATCAAGTATAAATTCATTTACCTGACTTTTATAAAATTCTGCAATATTATCATACGACTTTCCTATCGTCTGAATAGAACTCGACAAATCTTTATTGCCTAAAACAATACATATGTACTGTATTAGTATATAAATAAGAATGAAAAATATAATACATACCAATTGTTTCTGCATCGACTTGTAATGCTCCATGCAGTTTAGTAAATAACTCCCCAACTTTTTGGATATCTCTCTCGTACACTAAAATAATTGACAACTTGAATTTTGTTAAACATATACAAAAACTCATGTTTTTTTTTACCTTCTATGTGACGCTCAGAATATTTTGTTAAACCTTGATTCAAATTTCTCAAATGAGTTTCCAATAATGGTTGTTGTTGAGCAAATAGATCAATTTGTTGCATACTTTTAATAAAGTACAACAACATAAATTACTTTTATGACTACTCTATTTAAATAATAAGTCATACTTACATTTGTTGATCTGTATGTCCCGTACTAACAAGACTAACACATGCAAGCCATTGTGCTTCTTTCATTTCATCTTTTTCAATTTTTCGTTTTCCAACTTTCCATTCCTAAAATTGAATAAATAAATATTTTAATGTCAATAAATATCAAATACATATTAACAATTTATTACTTTAACAGTTTTCTCTGATAATTCACACGTAAGAAAATGTTGTACAGGAAACGAGGCACAAAGAACAGGATGTCGACATATTCTATTTAACCATAGTTCAAGTAGTCGTTTACGTTCCTGTACAAAATCTTGTTCAAATCGTCCTTAAAAAGTAAAAACATTATACAATTAATTTTAGATTATATTTTTAATGAATAACAGTGTATACCAGCAATTTGTTTGCCTGGCAATGGTGGTATACATATAAAACGATATTTTAACACTAACTGATCGTGTAACCAATCAAATTGTTTGTAGCGTCGTCCTACCAATTTTCCGCCCGGTCTCTATGATAACAGAAAGATAGAAACTTATCATCTAAAAGAGAAATTTGTTACTTGTGCTTGAATTTTATATTCCATAAAAGTTTTGAAACCAGCTAATTTTGTTGATCGTATCGGATCTTCTATTTTAACTGTAAACGGTGGAGTAGATGGATTATTTGCCCAATAAACAGTTCCTTCATGTTCGTTGAACTTGAAATACAGAGAGATCAATGTTATAACTAACAAGTACATAAATAAAAAATCTATTACATACAGCAATATCAACACGTTCATCTGTTTTTGCTTTGAAACCATTCAATAAATAACTATCGAGACCATGACGATCAAAAAATCTATTCACGGAAAAGAAAAATCAATGAAATTAAATTTAACAAATAAACGTGCTCAGCACGAACCGAGCTCGAGGTGCAGGTTTAGCTGTTAAATCGCCCGAACTAGGCCGGTTTGGTTGCAAATGTGTATTGGGCAACTAAGAATAAGAAAAAGAAGATAATAAAAAGGTGATTTAACAATAAGGCTCACAAGTAAAAGTAACAAGTGATTGCAATCAATAAATAACAACAATTGTTCTGCCATTATTAAAAACTCTTTTGAAATTGATCCAAAAGCAGGGAGATAGGGTAAAAGTGCCCCGATGCAAAAGAAGAAGAGTATTTGAATAAATTCTTGAAACTGAGGTGGCCGTTGACAGATTGCTTTATCATACAAAGAGTCTAGTTGTCAATTTAACCAAAGCTGAAGAATGTTTTGCCAAGAGCTAAGAAAAAGTTCAATACGGACAGAGTAATGAAGTACTGTCTGCCGTATTATCGTCTTAAAATGCTTGAAGAAACTAATGTAGATATGAAGAAGTATTCATCAAAAATTGGACTCATGCCAATATTGATTTTAATTAGAGTATCATAAAATGCGTCAAGAACTGAAGAAAGAGAATAGAAAATATAAGCTAGGGTCAAATTGTCAATCGTACTTCAAAAAACAAGACCGCTGCATTCTAAATCGCGAACATGTAGTAACGTTATATAGAACTGTTTACTGCATGTGAGTGACTCATTATCAAAAAGAGAACATCACACAAATTAGATGGACATAGCACAAGTGTAAACAATACAAACACTTTAGTTTAAAGGATCTGACGTGTCAAAATACAGAGCGTGAATACTTTCACACACTCATTTCTGTTCAAAACTAACCGTATTTGTTCGTTTTATGGTTCCACGTTGCTGTAAAATGGGTTAAAAACTTTTTTTATCAAGCCCAATAATAGTAAACGAGCTAATGAATATTAGATAAAACTAATCAGAAAGTACTTACAGAATTTAAACTGGTGTGTGGCCGTGGTTGATTTTCAGTATCACTAAAACTATCATCTGAATCTGTATCTTTCTTTGGTTTAGGTGTCTAGAAAAAAAAGAGGAAAAAAATCGAATGAAAACAAGATAAAATTAAAGATAACTCAACTAATAACAAAACGAAAATAGCAGAAATCAAATGAATAGCAATAGATATCTGGGCTACACAAAGTGCACACAGGTAATTAAATGAGTAAAAGCTATTACATGATGGAGTAATAAAAATTGTTTTAATTAATGAACTTCATCATCCATCTTGATCACTCATCATCAAAGAGCAATTGTTTGTATTGTCACACTGGAGTAGCAGCAGTCCTTTTACTTACAGTTGCTGCATCAAAACTTTCTTCCAATTTTAATTGTGTTTTACTTGAGATAGATTTTGATCTTTTTAATGTGAAAAATTTTTGTTTGTGCTCTTTTGATTTTTTTTCCGTATTTTGTGTCGGAGGTAAAGATGTAGCTGATAATGTTTCAGACAAATTTGATGATGAGCCTCTTGGAGTGTAATCGTCATCCAAATTTGATTCGGATGGTTTTGTTTTAGTCGGTTGAGATGGAAAAGTTACAAATGGTTGTTGTGATTGAAATAGAGTTGGTTCTGTTATATTTAAACCTGATAATGTATTATATTGATTGGAATTTGACGGTAATGCAGATGATTGCAAACTTATATTCCCTGGATACATTGCTTCTTGAGAAAACAAGTCGACGTTAGATGTAGTTGACTGTTGTAGTTGCTGCTCGTGCATAGAAACTGGACTCCATAGATCATGTCTTTGCTCTACCATATTTGTTACCAGATGACTTTCTTGTCCGGTATATTCTGTGTTTCTATTTTGATTAGAGTAATCTGTATTCTGATATGCTTGTGGTACGCCATGATCAAGTAGAACATCCTCTGCACTAGAATACCAGTCATTAGTCTCCTCGAAATTGGTGCCATTCAAAGGGAGGGTATCAAGTGTTTTGTTTAATTCTTGTGAAATAGATAGATCGGATACCTGTATGTATGTCTGATTTTCATCAGAAAATGCAGACATTGGTTCGGAGGTGAGAACGACATTTTCGGTTGGGCTATTGGACTATAAAAAATGAATATCATAGAAGAACTACTATAAATGGGCCATTTGTTTTCAAATGCAAGGCCACATATAGCGGAGAGACTGCAGGGAAGCACAGAAAATGAGATTTCCCTAGAGTAACAACATTCATAATAAAAAATAAATAAATAAAAAAAATATTCTAATAAAACTGTGAAACTTAGATACATACAAAAGCTTTACTTACACTCGGATGTGATGTATTTGTACTTGATTGCCATGCCAATGGAGCTTCATTTATATTTGTATTTGTATATTGTGGCGTTTGTGACCATGCAAATGGATCGTTATGGATATTATGAGGAGGTGCATAATTATTCTGGGAGCCGTAACCGCCACCATTTAATACAGATAAATCAGGATATGTATAACTTGGTGGTGGCTCGCTTGGTTCGGGTGTTTCATCAACGATTGTTTGAAGATAATTCTCAGGAACTGCGCCTGATTTTCCATAACTATTTTTTGCGTACCACCACCCGTTCCCAGGCGAGGCAGTGGCTGTAATTGTTAAAATATCATTAGTATTAAAACTTAACTCATTTTCATCCTGTCCTTGAAAGTCGTATAATGCCCGTGCTTTAAACTCGTTTGCCATCAAAAATTCTAAACAGAAAGATGAATATCATTGAAAGAATTATAGTTTATTTTTTCTTCTTCCCTGAACATACCATTAGTTATAAGAACTAGATATTTGCAATATTATATATTCGAGAACTGCTCGCTTGAAATGTTGATCTAACAGAATTAAATTTTTGTTTTCTTTTTACCAATAAACTTAGCAGGAAAATCAAGTTATCTTCCTTCGTCAAAGTATTACGTGATGCTTTGATAAATAGATGACTCTATTTACTCTTTATAATTCTGTTCTGTTTTTTTTTCTTTTGGAGGAGAGCAAACAAAAACAATGATTCATCAATCATTCTTTCACGAATCATCATTAGCCGTTAAAAATACCAATTGAATGCCAAGAAAATCGCATCAGTACTTGTGCGTGTGATGCCAAGATAATCTATCGTATGTGTGGTGTGTGCGTTGATAATTGCAATCAATACAATACAATATGACTAGAATCCCGTTCAGTGCCGCTAATCTTTTTGCCGATGTTTTCGGTCAGCGGACCGATAGAAAAGCTCTTCAAATGAATCCCGATGCGTTTGCAGTTCTTTTCTGATTACTTAACTAATTAATTCAGAAATTTGGTGAAAAATTGATTTGGACACAGAATAGTCTTGACCAACTTCGACATATCGACAATGTTTATTAATACACACTGTCGATATATAAATTTGTATAAGTGCTTGGGAGATGGCGCTTGTATAGAGGTCATTATATATTGGTTCAAATTCTCTTCATTCATAATACCTATTAGCTAGAAGTCGTACTTTTCGTACGGAGAAAAATATTCAAATTTTCATTTTACTGAACATAAATATGTAAGAGCACTATCTCTTGAATTCTTATTATAAAAACTATTCATCATGTATATTTGTACCTGAATTAATAGTTTAAGACTAGTCTACGTAATTAAATCTTTCGTTCTGTATATATTCAGTTCAGATATACATACATACTCTTAACTTGCATATTATTATTCTCGTATATACTGTTTAGAATATTTAATTTTTTTTGTTCATACGATGGAGTACTTGGAAAAACTTAAAGTTTATGGTGATCAAGTGAAAAATGTTGTTGTCAAATCTATGGTTGACACAGTACTTGCTGCTCAAGGAACAATGAAAGATGTACTTCCAGGTAAGTTTTGTACTGTGTTGTATTATTAATTGTATTATTTTTCGATGTTTGTGTTTTAGGTAATTTAGTCACAAGAGAATTTGATGTATGTTTTCTAAGTATCTTTTCCCTCTAATTGCTTATATAAATAAATGTATGTGTATTTGTAGCTTATTCGGCCTCTCGGATCAGCTGGTCCTGGCCTTCTCTGGCGTATTTATGCTGCTTTAAAACGGACAACGAAACAAGTAAAAAGAGAAATTTCTTAGTATGAAGTAATAATTATCTACTGATATTTTAGGAAGCTGCTGTATTTGTATTTGAGAAGCGAGTTTTGGATAAATATCCGAAAAAAGATCGTGATTTAATAATAGAAACAATGAAAAAAGGCGTTCAACAATTAGCCAAAATAAAACATCCACGAATTTTAAGTTTGCAACATCCACTAGAAGAGTCACGGTAAAATGGTTTTCTTTCTTACTCAAATGAAAAATGATTTTTTTTGTGTATTTTTAGAGATTCACTAGCATTTGCTACTGAATCTTGTTTTGGAAGTTTATCAAACGCATTAGGCTTTTATGACAATATGACACAACCAATTCCGAAAGAATTTGAAGATTTTAAGTTATACGATGTTGAAATGCGATTTGGCTTGAGTTCAGTGAGTAGTTTTCTAAATTTTCTACATTAATGAAAGATTCAGATCCACTTATAGAGGTATGTGACTATTAAAAAAGTGTTGTGAATACGTTCTAGTTATGTGAAGGATTAACATTTTTACATAATGAAGTCAAATTACTTCACCGAAATATATCACCGGATACAATTATTATCAATTCAACTGGTGCTTGGAAACTTGCCTTTTTTGATTGGGCTATTCAAGGATCAGCCGATGGTGTACGTATGTGAAAAAATGAGGTATATTTTTTGATGAAAAAAGTACTTTCTTGTTTGTTAGACAAATTATCCATTTCGAGATTATGATTGCAATGTGCCTGCCTTAATCAATCCACGCTTAGATTATATGGCACCAGAATATGTATTAACAAGATCTTACGATACACAAGCAGATATGTTTTCATTAGGCGTACTAATTTACGCAATTTATAATCGTGGTAGAACGTTAAACGATTGTCATGATAATTATTCTAATTTTCGCAAAATGGTTGACGATTTAAAATTATTAAACACTACAAAATTAAGTAATATTCCCTTGGAAGTTCGTGAACATGTGAAAATGTTATTAAATCCAAAACCTGAATTACGTCCAGATGCATCTCAATTTGTCAAAGTTAGTAATAAACTAAAAGAAATTATGATTATGTTACATATTCATGGTTTTTTCAGGTACCATTTTTCGATGAGGTTGGAGTGAAAACGTTAGAATATCTTGACTCATTATTTCAAGTTGATAACCTACAACGATCAATGTTTTATAAAAGTTTACCACAAGTTATAGAAAAACTTCCAATGGTAACGGGTATTTGAATGCACATCTTTCCTTTACTAACTGTTTTTCATTTGTAGCGTGTCAATTTACAACGAATCGCATCAGCATTAGAACTGGAATTTGTAAATCCTGACATGGTACCATTTGTACTACCAAACGTCAGTACATCTCATTCATATTCGAAGTATTTATATATATTAAAATATGCTTTCAGATGTTTTTGATTGCTGAGAAAGCTACAAATGAAGAGTATCAAAAGTATATATTTCCAAAGTTAAAGCAAGTGTTTAAAATTCAACGACCAGTTCAAGTAAAATATTTATTGCCATTTTGTTTATCTGAATTTTGTTATGTGAATCGTGAGCAAATAATTTTTTTTAATTTTTACATTGTGTATAGGGCAGCGCAACATCCGGAAGTGTTATGCAGGTTTGTTTGTTTTCAATAATTTGTGCACTGGTTTATTATCTGTTGATTTGTAGTATCAGTTTAAGGTTTTTTAATCAAATTTTAGGTATTATTGGTATTAATGCGTAACATGAATTTAATGCTAACAAAAACGCCACCTGAAGATATTAAACAACATATATTACCCGTTGTTTACAATGCACTTGATGCTGAATCTGTTCAAGTTCAAGTATACTTCTTTTTCTCTCTAAAATAAAAAGACCTATAATGTCAGTTGATATATGTACGTTTTAGGAACTATGTTTGGCTATTATTCCTTCATTTGCTCATTTAATTGATCTTCAAGCAATGAAATATTCAATATTACCTCGGATTAAAACCATATGTTACAATACAATTACATTAAGTGTAAATATATAAGAAAGATAATTGAAGCTACGGAGAAAATATGTGGTTTTTCAATTCTAGGTTAGAGTAAATAGTTTGATATGTTTGGGTAAATTAGTCGAAACGTTAGATAAATGGATTATTATAGATGAAGTTTTACCATTACTGCAATCTATTCCATCTCGAGAACCAGCTGTATTAATGGCTATATTAGGTGTGTTTTGTCTAATTTTTCTTCATTTTATTATGTAAATATTTTTTATTAATTCATAGGCATTATTAAAGTGGCTATGACTTCGACAAAAGCTGGTAATTTACCACGAGAAGTTTTAGCGACAAAAATTGTACCATTTTTAGTACCAATGTCAATCGAAACAAGTTTAAGTTTAAATCAAGTAATTATTGCATACAAATAAATAGCGACGAACTAACTTTTATGTTTTCTAGTTTAATGCTTTTATGATAACAATCAAAGAGATGCTACAAACAATTGAAGTTGAACAACGAAAAAAATTAGAGCAATTATCATCACAAACAGCGAAGTAGGATAGATCCCACAGCAGATTGACATCTTTGTTTGTATGAAACATTGACATTTTATCTGAAAATCTTTTAGTGCACCTATTATTCCTATTGGTGTAGCGGTAACGAATAACAATGAACAAACATCAAATAAATCATCTTCTATGGTATGTGTATGCTATAAAAGCGATAAATCGTTTATCATACGTATTCGACGTCCTTTAGATGGATCAATTTATGATGGGTTACGGATTTAACACCGAAATTTCTCAGAATCGCAGTATGTCAGAAACAATGTATGGTTCAAATTCTGATAGACAAAATGGAGGTTTAAAATTTCAAGATCAGACTACCACAGGATCATCTACATCGTCGACTTCAAACACTATCGCAGATAATTCGATCTCTAAAAAGGTATAGAATATTAATTGAACATAAATATTAATTGAGCATGAAGTATTGTCTTTTTTTTTCCTAGGCGTTAACGCTTGAACAGAAAGAACGTATCATGCGTGAAAATGATCAATCAACTCGACTCAAAACACAACCAGAACTTGTAGCAGAAAAAAAAAACATATCACCATCCAAAAATATGCCGTTAATGTCCATGACACCTCTAACTTCTTCCACAACTAGTTCATCAATTACAAAAGATCTCACGAGTACACTATTCGATAGTAATATTTCAAATCTTTCGTCATCATCATCAACATCATCTATGAAACCGAGCGCATTTCCTATGACAATGACGACATCACAAACCTTACCTTATATGCAACCATTCTCAACGTCTTCTCATCCTCCTGTTTTGACACCTGGTATACGGCCAATGATTCCACAACAGCAATCAGTTCCAAGAGAAAAACGTCCACATTTTTCCACAACTTCAGCTAATAGTATGGATTTAACATCAAGTTTAATGAATAATATTAACTCATTATCGATGAACAGTAGTAGCTCATCATCCTCTATGTCATTGAATCAACAGAGCATGGCATACAGTAATAGTGGTGGAAATAGTTTTTCTTCAAACATTCCTGCTAATAAGACCTCAAATGCATTTTTTCCTCAACCACCAGCTCCTGGATCAAATGTAATGAGGGGCCACTCCTCTCCTTCCCCATCTAGTACAACGACACAAAAACCCAAAACAACAGCAGATGAAATTGCTGATTTTTTCAATTAACAATAATAACAATAACAGTTATTTTAACCTGAGTAATCAGAGTTGATACAAGCCTTTCAATTTCTTTTTACTGCGAGAGCGGTGATCAAATACAAATATGCTAAAATCCTTTGTCTCCAATATTTCAATTAAAACGGTGTTTTTTCTTCTAAGCCTAATTTCTTTCATATAATATACTATAATTCGATTATTTATTTTTCGAGTTTATTATACAATTTGCATAGGAAAATGAGCATAAAGATTTATTAAGACTTATTTGGAGCATACTGTGATCCTACCTACCTGTATAAGGTACATCAGGTATATCTATTCTATATTAGATTGTTTTTTTATAAGTCATTACAGCTTGATTTTGAACAGTAAGCTATAAAATTCCAGAAGCAAAATGACTACGTTAGTATTGGTGTATGTGGTATTTCTCCATCGTTTTTGCTTGTTTATTTCTCATTTTTATTTTTGGGACAGATTGTATATATACATATTTTTTTCCATCTCATTTGCATATTGTTTTATGGAACAAAGTTATTTCTATGTCATTTAATGTATTCTAATTTATCTTAATTTATATATTTGTTAGCAACTTAACTATTTTCGTTGGTGGATTTTTTTCCATAAATAGAAGAAGTATGTCATTATTCTTACACTAAATAAAATGTGATTTATAATACATAACAAATGTGTTGCCAAAGAAAACTACTTAGTCGTTTTATTTCTTCATGCAAACAAAAGAAAAATTCAGAGGATCGATATAATTAGTCATAACACTATATTCTTCTTTTACAGTTGTTTTCATTAAGCATGTACAAGAAGATATAGGACAAAAAGTAATGTATTAATTTAAGTTTTTTGCTTCAAGTATGAATCGAAAAGATGTGTCGCCTTAATAAATTTAATAATTTTAAAGATGTTGCTATTTCCTGTTCTGATGTTAACAAAAATATCTGTAAATAATTGAACGAAGCAGCATAACTTTTGTGTTCCCTGACGAGTTACTCAACCATGACGACTGGCAAATAAATGAAGGTTGTAATCGTTTTCATTCAAATATAATGATTGACTATCCAGTTTTGATAGTTCTTCTCTATAGCATAGCATAATTACCAAGTTTTTAATTTAGTAATTAGAAATGAGTTAATTGAAATGGGTTAAAATTAAATAAAAGAACATATCTTGCATCATATATATTAAATATTTTCACATTGATACAATATATGCATATGGCTGCAATAGGCAAAGTAAAACCTTGAACAATCCCCATATCTAATATGGGTTTACATATGATCAATCGATAGTAAGTTATATTGTGAAAAAAATCACGGTCAAATATTGTTAGCTTCAATTTATACTTCAATGTATACACACATATGTTCTTTATGCTTCACAAGCGTCTCAATCTATTTTAGCTATTCGATTATTTTTAAAGGAAGACAGTGTTCATCCATTTGAGCTATTTTAACCCCTGCTCCTGTCTCATGTGAATTTTATTAGTAAATTAAATGACATTTTTCTGCTTAACGTATATGGACTAAATAAAGGATGAAATAAATTACGAAACGAGTATCTAAAAATAATTATTTGTACAATTAACAATAGTCATGAATTCTTTGTTTAACCATGGAATGCCATATGATAATCCAATTCATTTCACCGGCACAGCTACTAATTATAATGATTTTAATTTTTCCAATTCTATGTCGTTACCTCCTACTTATTACTTTAATTCCACTCAAGACTGGCCAACAGTATTATCTCAACCACTATTTGGATCATCCGTGTCATCATTCACAGTACGTAAAACTTTGGTACTCTCAGTTGATGAAGAATATTCAATTCATTAATTTTAAAACCTGGCGTAGTACAGGAAATATCTCTGCTTTGCAGCTAACAGTTGCAGGATTCCAGTAGAGTAATCTGGTATTAGAAGTAAAGTCCCATAGAATCTGATCTTCCTTTCCTCTTTTTTTTCGCAGTATTTTTGAGCCTGAAACTATTTCTGTCATTAACTACGATATTGATTATATTCATTTAGACCTCACCAACACATAACAACATGTATGTGTGTACTCCGTTGAATGAAGCATTAGGTCAAAGTATGTCAATTATTCCATCAACATCCTCTTTCGGACTTCAACCAAGTTCGTTTGGTAGCTCGAATAATGCTTTGATATTTAATGTACCGGGTGAGTTTACGTCTTTAACGAATAGATTCAACTTATCTTTTTTCATTTCATTTTAGAAGATGTACCGATTGATCAAATTTTAACAAGTTTAGGTGTTAATGTTCATTCGCTGAGACGAGCGTCGAGTGCATCACATTATGGATGTAAGTCTATTACTACTAACTATTCCACACTATTTAGTATAAATAACGTTTCTATTTTCTAGATCAAAGTTCGTCTCATTTGCCGTTTTCATTGTCATTTCCACATACAAAGTCTCCTGGTAGACGATTTGAGTGTCGGGAAATATCTGAAAGAGAATATAGAGATAGACATAGACACAGACATTATCGAGACACAGATGATGACTATCCATCCAGTCACCGCTCCCAGCATCGAGAGCCTTTGAGTTTACACGGCTTACTTGGTGCATGGAACATGGCAAAGCAGATTCCTCCTAGCGGATTAAGAGGTTCAGCATCAACACCCAATTTGAATTCTCAATGGAATATGATGAAAAATATGGGATCAATGCCGCAACAAGATAACAGAAATAATCTGATTAGTTCTCAGTGGAATATGGCACGCCAACAGCAACAACAGCCACCGAGTGCGGCACTGAACAACTTATTTGGCGCTCGTCAGACATCACCATCTCCATCGGGACAGAATGCCGCTGTTCAAAACTTCTTCGCTGCTCGTCAGTCACCCCCACCTCAACAGGGATCGAATGCGGCGGCAATGAACTTCTTAGCTGCTCGTCAGACGCCCCCATATCAACAGGGATCGAATGCCGCTGTTCAAAACTTCTTAGCTGCTCGTCAGTCACCCCCACCTCAACAGGGATCGAATGCGGCGGCAATGAACTTCTTATCTGCTCGTCAGTCACCCCCATTTCAACAGGGGCCGAATGCCGCTGCTCAAAACTTCCTCGCTGCTCGTCAGTCACCCTCATTTCAACAGGGACCGAATGCCGCTGCTCAAAACTTCTTATCTGCTCGTCAGTCACCCCCATTTCAACAGGGGCCGAATGCCGCTGCTCAAAACTTCCTCGCTGCTCGTCAGTCACCCCCATTTCAACAGGGGCCGAATGCTGCCGGTCAAAACTTCCTCGCTGCTCGCCAATTTTCAGGAAGCTCTACACCGCCTTTTAATGCTGCCAGTCAAAACTTCCTTGCAGCCCGAAATCTTCCTTATAGTGGAAATCCAGTCCCCAACCCAAGTTTTGCCAACAACAACTGGAATAGACTTAGCCAACAACCATCGCCGTATGCAGAAGCTGGGCAAAACTGGAATATGATGAGAACAGCAGGCGCTATGAATCAATCATCAAATCCACCATTTAATAGACCTTTTTCACCAAATCAAGGCCAGTGGCGGAATTCCTCTCTAGACCCTGCTCGTCCGGGTATTGGTCAAGTGCCTGCACCGACATCTTTTGGTTCTCTTCTGCAACAAGCTCGAAGCCAAAATTTAGGATATGCTGGAGTTTCCTAAACGATCAGTATACGAAACACAATTACACTATAGTAAAATAAAACTCTCAACGCGTTGAGCGAAGAAAAATTTAAGCAATCGACTCAATTTTCTTTGGCTATGTGCTATTAAGGCTACCTCTCTCTTGTCCTACCTTGTCGGAAAATGTGAAGTAAACGTCCGTTTGAGTTCAAACTCATAGCAGAGAGAGAACATCGAAAAATAAAATCAATGTAGTTTTGCCCAGAATTTCTTGCATGTTCTTTTATGGCTATACTGAAAAACTCTGGTTTTTACTGGAGTACATTACGACCCCCCGAAAATTTCATCTCATCGAGCCCCAAATTCTTTCTTAGGTACCTGGGATGATATTACAGAACGGTAATTTTTTCGTTTCCGTTTTTGACCTTTCCTTCCGAATATATAAAAAAGGAGTACAAGCCTTAGAGGAAATCTAGGATTTGGGTTCTAAAAACCCCATAACTTGCAAGAAAAAATAGCCAAAAACAAAAAATTTTCTGAGATATATATCTCAGAAAATTTTTTGTTTTTGACTATTTTTTATGGTAAAATTTTGAGCGTGCCAGGATGAAGTTTCGATGGGATTATAATGCTCATAGACTGGAACTACTACTGTTTTGAGCATTACAAGTATCATCAGACAAAACAGGTTTTTTAGGGCATTTGCGGCAATGCTTATGGCTCCGAAAAACCATTGCAAAATTTTTGTAAGACGTCCCATTATGAAGATGGCGCTTTACTCTATCAGACTATTTATAAAAAACATTTTAAAGGGACTGAAAAGGAGAGAAAAATTTACGAAATCAGAAAAATCGAGTTCTTTCAATCGTTTGAGTCCAAACTTAAAAACTAAACTTTTCCCAAAAAGGTTGTGGAATGCTGGGACTGGTCTTATTTTGTCGCCCAAACTTTCCTCCACATTGTACTATGTTCACTCAGAATCGAAAAGTTTTTCGAAAAAGAGGAGGGGTATCCTTTAGATGAATGCAATCTTTTTAAAATTTATTTATTTCATTATAAAAGGGAACTAACATTTATCGCAAAGGATGCGGATATTGAATGATAATCGCTTCATTGGAAACAGAACACGGTTTTTTCAGGACACGGCCTTGACTCTCTGTCTTCTTTGAATTCAAGTTGTCGCCATGTTCTTTCGAAAGGCACAACAGCAATCTTTTATTCATCAACCTTTTTGTGCCTGTATAGAGTGATGGGACAAAATTGTTTGATACTTCTCACGTTAGTCTTCTATTTTGACTTTATAGAACAAAACAGAGAGTGTTCAAATGTGAGCTATTATTTCTACGATCAAACTACGGCGTTAATCATGATTCAAATTAATTGTGCATAAAGTTAATCCTGATTAACGCAATTTTATGATATGACGACAGCTTTTGTTTAATCATTTGACCGGGCTGATCACTCTGTGAACATCACACGTGACGAAGCTGAGAATTATATGAAAAATATAATTGGTATGTCTATAGTCATAATCCAGCTGACTCACAGAATGTTACGTATAAGTAGACTTGTGTTTTTTTATCATTACTTTTTTGATGTTACCTCTTTTTTCAAGACAATCAAGAGAGATCAGTCAGAGACTCATATGTATTTGTGCTTAACTCTATCAACCCTATCATTTTTCATACAAAAGTTTTTTCAGAAATATTTCGCCTCTGAAATATTTGCCATTTTTTAGACTATGTATTATTAACATGAAAAAATGTTGTTCAGCCTACTGTTTCAACAATAAACTTCTTTCATCTAAAAAGCAGTAGAAGCTATACAGAAGTGATAGGCCTATCATTCTACATGAACATCTCGAGGGGCTGACTCCACTATATATTGGCTCCTGCCTTTTCTACTCTGACTTTTTTTTATGTTAGTTAATGAGTTTTTATGTTAGTCAAGAGTCGTTAAGACCATCTTAGCGCTCTCTAATCGCTGGTATTATTTTGTGCCAGCTTTTATGCGTTTTCGGGAGTATCTATGCACTTTTTTATTTATTAAAAGGTTCTGGTTTTCAATCGATCGTTTTTTGCCATTTTTTAACCAATTAATCATTAAAAAAACTTCTTTGTTGAGATTTTCGTTATTTTTGGTTATCCAACTTAATTCGTTTCCCATTTGTTCCCTACGATTGACAACTCAAAGGAAAGTACAGTACATTATAAGAAAGGAACGATTAATGGCATCTACTCAGTATTTCTCATGTTGCTCTTTGCCTTTGAAAACTATCTTTTTTCGATTGCGGAGCATATTACATGAAAAGATACTTTTATGACAACACGCATAAAATTAGCTTTTTTTGATTTTGAAATTTTTCTTTTTTTCTCTCTTTCTCTCTTTGTGCGAGAGTGATTGTAGTTGGCTATTTATATTTTTATTTCTAAACAGTCAAGCACTTTCTAGTAATAATAATAAGAAAATAATGGTGACATTGTTCTCGTTGTGCTATAAGGCCTTTAGATCCTTGACTTATGAAGTAATCGCACGTAATCGATATGAGTTTATGATAAGTTGTTAGAAAACCTTGTGCATTGTTTGTTCTAACTATTCAAATTCGAAGAAAAATAAAAGGTACAATTACTGTCAAATAAAGTCAAAAAAAAGAAATAAAAAGCGTTTTATTTTTAATCGATCGCTCACCTTTTGTAAGAGACATAAGACAAAATTTCTTTTTGGAAAAAAATATTTTAGGTTTTTCAATGTCAAGTTAATTTTCCGTGTATAATTGAGCTATTAATCCAGATCGAATTTAACTATATAAATCCTGATACGTGTGATTAAACACATCTAACCTGCGATGCAAAAGTAATTGCCGAAATCTCCAGCCATGGTGCTCCAGTCAGGAATATCACAGAAGGTTCATTCGTTTTCTGGTTGAAAGAGCAAAGCCTGAACTTCAAAAACATAGGAAACAAAATTTTTGGGATTGGCTTTGAGGAAGGAAAAAGTACGATACCAAATGTCGCTGAAAAAGCTCTTGCAACGTACTTGTTTTCTTTATTTTTTTACTAGAGCGTATAGACAAATATCTTCTTGAAAACCAGATAGATGAAAAAGTAGCCCCATGCAAAACTCTATCGACTTCCCTACTTTAACAAGTTTCTTAGTAATTCTTTAACAGTAAATAAAGCACATTATAAGTCTTTATAAGTTCTTTTATTCGGGGCTCTAAATATGTTAGTAAAGGTTAAAACTAATGTGAATTTGTAGAGAATTGTATATTGTTCCAGAAAATGTGTTTTAGAAAAAGGAGCAAAATTCGTCGAATATCTGAAAATTATTAATTAAGTCTAATTAACTGTTTTTTGAAACTAGTCAAAAACTTACAAAGTTCCGATAGAAAGTGGATCAAAGTATAATTTACCATACCCGATTTGAAAGAGTGATTAAAACACTTCTAATTTCTATAATTATATAATTTCAAACGTATTCTGTTGTAGGAAAAAATAGATTTGATGAGAGAGATACGTTTGAAGACGACAAAAATTGCAAGGGATTTTTTGCGACATTTAGTATCATACTTTTTCCTTCCTCAAAGCCAATCCCAAAAATTTTGTTTCCTATGTTTTTTGAAGTTCAGGCTCTGCTCTTTCAACCAGAAAACGAATGAACTTTCTGTGATGTTCCTGACCGGAGAACCATGGGTAGAGATTTCGACAATTACTTTTGCATCGCAGGTTATATTCAGTCATCCTAATACGCTTTCTCTTTCAGACTTTGCATCTGCGCGCATCGATTCTTCGTCTTTTGTGATATCAGTTGATGCCAGCAGTCAAATTCATTCTCCTGAAAATCAGGTTTCATCGCTAAACATACTACTCCCGTACTTCACAATAGACAGTTACGTTCATCAAATATCTTTGATCTCAGCTACAGCTTCCTCTGCTAGAAACATATATCGGTCCCAAACTCGATTCAAATTTATAAAGAAATACACTCATGATATTTTTTCAAGTTTCATCTGTTACCATTCGCGAAATGTCGCTACAACGAGAGTCAAAATATCGCGCTAACACGATTACTTACCGCTGATGGAAGGTATGCATCTCCTGCTGAGTTGGCTTTCTCGTATTAAGATATAGGAACAACTTACAGTCGGATCTCTGACTTTTTGTTTTATTGATTTATAGTAAGTATTTTATTAGTGCAAAAACACGAGATGGGTTCAAAGATTTCCAGGAAAATGGAACAGAATCCTTCCGACGAGACGATTATAGAAAATTTTTTCAAGATACAAAACGAAACGAAATGTTACGAGGCAAGAGGAGACGTTCGAAATTCCATTTTGTCCATCTCTGATATATAATGCACCTTTTGCCATGTCTCATTTGCATTGTCTAACTGTGACTTGTAACATGTGATTGATTATCAAAATTGAAAATCATGAATGATATCATGTTATTAAAATTAAAATTAGAACCTTGAATATTTACAAAATCTCACCGACAAGCATCTATAGATTCCAATAGAACTATACCAAGGTTAAAAAAAACGAAGAATGACTTTTAAAGATGCTTTTTCTATGATTTTTCGTTTCAAGATCTTGCAAAGAAAAAAAATCTGCTTGATTCTTTCAGAAATCACGTGATTGAAGAATTTATCAGATTTTTTTATCCGACCAGATTTTTATTTCTTCAAATTATTTTTTATCAGATTTTTTTTCTTTAAAGACTCTTTTCATTATTTTTTGCACACTGAAGAAGGAAGAAGATTCTTCCGAAATGTTTTTGAAATAATTTCTGTAAATAAAATTTAAAAGGAAGAGTTTACAATCAAAAACTAACTCTTTTCTTGTATTTTCTTTAAGGAATCTTTTCTTGAAAATCTTCAACGTTCTTATAATATTGGATCACTTTTGCAGGTATGATCACAAATAGAAACTTGTAAAATTTCGAAGAAAAAGTTCCTATCTATGGTCATCAGCAGACTTTTTAAGAAGAGAAAGTTAGTATGTGAGTAAATCTTTTCCTTTTATCGATGTTAATGCCGAACAAATAAATAGACAACTAAACAATTCCAGTGAACATATTAACTACCAGTGCCTCCTTATCCTATGTGCTAATTATGCTATAGCACAGGGGCCCGGCTGACTCAGGGGTCCAATCGAACGGCTTAAGCCTTGCATTTTGTTATTATTAAAAAAAATACAAATTGATGTGTTGAAAACGTTAATGATCAGCACAGGGGCCACAAATTTCTTAAAACGGCTCTGTTAACTACTAATTAGTAGCCTTGAATGAGTTATTACTAATTTGTGAGGAGCAGATGAGATTAATTTTAAGAGTTTTCTAACGTTTAATTCTTCAAGGTGACAGTTGTTACAGAAGTGTAGACGAGATTTGTGAAACTGGCGAAGAGAGACAAGGACAGAAGAATACAATAGTTCGTCAACAGATGAATGAGACTCTAATAGTGGCGTAACCAGAAACTGGCTATAGATACGGCGGTGGCCGTACCGTCTCCCAAAACTTTTTGGAGGTAGGGTCTGCCAAATTCTGCAGTGGGTACGGCGGCCGCCGTACCTTGGTTACGCCACTAGACTCTAAAACAGAAAAAAAGACTAAATCAGATAATGTGATGGAGAATAAAAACAACAGTACCTAAAAGATAAAAATGCGAAATCATGAAAGACTAAATGCACATACTAAGTTCCTCTTTCATACATTGGGTTAATCCTTCAATAAGGTTATTTTCGTCTATCATCAAAGCCTTAACTGTCTACTAACTAGAGTGCATCACTATGGTCAATTGCCTGTCTTCATGAACTAAGTTCTGTGTTCTGTCGGACACGTGTATAGCTTCTCTATATATAAAGATATACGAAAAATCTCAAAGAATCTTGACAGAATACTCAATGACAAGAACAATCAAGAAAGAAAGACAAGATTCCTTCAAGACTTTATAAGACATAAGAATTCTTAAAGAATAATTTCAAGAACGTCGACTAGTGTTGTTTGTTTCATTCTTTTCCCAAAGAGAAGTGGTTTAAAAATACGGCGATGCTCGTCGCACTTATACGGCACTATTGAGTTTTATTTCTTCAAGAAAAGAATAAACCTTTTGTTGATATTTGATTGGTTAATTCGCCATTGCTTTCCCCAGGTTAATCTAACATCACTTTTCGGGTGAGTTAGTGATGATATGTTATTATCTTGATTTATAGATGTAATAACAATAGTTCAGCTGTTTTTATGAGAATAGTTTTTTTGTGACTGTTTATTTCAGATGTATATCGAACGACATTAACAATAGCAAAAGTATATTTATAAGACTGATTTTATGTAAGCCATATTACATTATTCCATCATGCGGCACAAATAATTCCCATAGCTTCTACGTGAAAATTATTAATTCATTTATTTTCTGTTGTTGTGTGTTATATCGTATTTGATGCAAACATTGTTTTAGATATCTTAATTCGTGTGAAGAAACTTTTTTTTATCTTTCATTTTTTGACGAATGAATGTTAGTAATGAATGGCGACTGGTGCTTTGGATCATAAACATACAACCAGTATCAGTCAGTTAAATCGTACTCTTATTCGAACATTTGATGAAGCTCAAAGTACTGGTGAATTAAATTTAAATGGACGAAAATTAAGAGAATTTCCACGTATTGGCGATAAGTGGGATTTAGGCGATATTGTTACTGCCGGTTGGTAACTTTTTTGTAGAAAAGAAAAAAATATTGGCATCTGTTTTCTTTTTTCTTCATAGATCTATCAAAGAATCGTTTTCCCGAATTTCCACGTGACTTATGCACATTTTTTTCACTTGAAAGACTTACATTATATAACAATGTAATTAAATCTATACCCGAACAAGTTGTGAAAATATGTGTTTTAAAAACTCTTGATCTTAGGTAAGTAAAATGGAAGAATACAAGTATACAAGATCAACACTAGTTTATTATTGTCTTTTAGTCGAAATCAGTTATCTTATTTGCCTCCTCCACTATGCAAATTGCTCAATCTTGAAGTTCTTATTGTTAATAACAATAAATTAGTATCATTGCCAGAAGAAATAGGGCAGCTTGAACGATTAATAGAATTGGTATGCTGTTGTTGTTTTCTTTGTAAATTTATATCGGTTTAAAAGGTTGAAAAATTAGTTTGAAGATGTAATGTAGCATTAGGATATTTGACATACGACAAATTCTAATTCATTTGCTAAATCATCTCCTATTAGATATTTATGAGTGAGAAATTACTACTGATAAAATTTAACGATATATTTCGGTATTTCAGGATGTAAGTTGCAACGATATCACTCATTTACCATTTCAAATTGGTTTATTACCATGTTTGAGAACATTAAACATCAGAAAGAATATGATTGTCGAATTACCATCAGGTATAAATAGAAAAGAATAAATTCTAATATAAAGTTGACAAGATGAGAAAAATAGTCTTATTTACAGTTTCAGTTTTAAATTCTGGTGAAAGGTAAAAACAAGTGCAAATCCTATTTGTTTTTTTCTTTTGCAATTAATTTACCATTCTTGCTTTTGGGTTGTATTACTGAACATTTTTTTTTATCAATTTATTTGATTTTTCAATGAAAATTGAAAAACACGCGCTTTTGCACAAAGTTGTTGGCTTTATTATTAAGATTGTTTTCCAGTGATCATGCATTTTAACAAGTCTCTGGTGATATCGCATGTAAAAATTCTCAAATTCACTGACATGCTTATAAAATGCAAACGAGAATCCCCAATATACTAATGAACTAGCTTTTTCTTTCTCACTGCTGCTTCTATTTTCTTGATATTTTTGTTTTTGTTTAGACCTATGTTCTCTAAAATTGATCCAGTTCGATTGTGCTTACAATCGTATTGTTCGTCTACCCCTAGAATTAAGGGAAATGGTAACGTTAATTGAATTAAATGTCGAACATAATCCATTGGAAGTTCCACCAGCTGTGGTAATTTAGAAAAAAAAAGAAAATATGCATGTCTAGCAGTCTTTGACTATTTTATTTAAGGTTTGTACAAATGGTTTACTCCATATAATGAGGTATTTAGTGTTTGAATCAGTAAAAGAAGAAAAACGTCGTGGTTTATTAACAGAATATGAAATAAATGCTAAGTATAGAAATTCATTTTCTTACCAAGGCTCAAGGTTAGTCTTAGTTTTTATATTCAAAACTGTTTCCTAAAGTTAATTGTATTTTCAAGATATTTGCAATGTGGAAAGCGTTGGAGAAAAACTGTTGTATCATCGGATTCTGGTTATTTAACAACGGAAGGCAGTGAAAAAACAATGGGTGATGTATGTGGCAAAGAAATGAAAATGTTGCTCAATTTACCTCAACAGTAAAAATCTTTATCTTTATTAAGGATGATTCATACTTGAACATGCAAGCAGATCAGATAGCAAGAAACGAACCGACATTAGCGTTAAGTTTAGCTGATGAGTTTTCAAAGGTAAATAACTTTATTTTTTAAAAGTAAGTTTTGTAGTGAATACGTTTATTTATAGGAACTGGCAAGACAAAAGGCCGATTATGAACGAAAAAAATGTCAGGCACAGCAGTTAAAACAACATTTGCTTCAACAATTAGGAGAAACAGAAGTACAGGTAAATTTTTCCGTAGAAGTTTTTTCGTAAGAAAAAATGCGTTTACCATTGCATTATTCCAGAGAGAAAAGGCCCGAAAGGTTGCTCGACGAGCTCATGAAGAAAAATTGGCTCTAATGGAAAAGCAGCGTGAAGATGCGAGAAGAAAAATGGAAAGCCGGTAATGTTTTGAATTAGTTTCTCTTGCTTGTGTTAATGAATAGTTTTTTTTTATTGCTTTAGAAATGTTCAGTTGATTAATTTATCATCAAAAGAGGATCCATATGAGAAACAAAGGTATGCTTTTTCTTGTCGCTTTCAATGGATAAATAATTCCAATGGATTGTTTTCAATAATTTTTCAATGGTTTGTTCAATAACTTTTTGCTTTTAGATATTGGCCCGCCACGACAAGACAAAATTGTTCAACGGCGAATCTTGGAAGACAAATGTCTAGTATCTGTACTACAACAGGAACGCAGTCTCCAACATCATCATCGATGCCAACAACATATCTACGATCAATATCAATCGACAATGCAACTGTTGGAGAACTTCTAATGAGATCAGATCGTGCTGTTAGTATTGAATCGAATTTAATCCCTGATGTAGACAATGTAACAGTCAGTATCAATCACACGAATATAACTGGAAATGGAAGTAATCCCAAATTATCATCATCACTGAATGACACAATTGATAAACAGTTTATCTCTTGTTCCGATACAATCGATCTATCATCGTATGTATTTTCAACTTCTTTTCCTATTGCAATTTTTTTATAAACGACAGTCATCTTTCTAGTCGGCTCGAAACACTCTCTCGGTCATCTGGATTATCATCAACGAATCTCAACGGTATAAAAATTGAGCAATCTGCCACTAGTCAACAAAATATGAATGGTTACCGTCCAAAATTACAATTGCAACGTTCGGTAAACTATTTTTTGTTTTCTAAGTTATGAGTATATAATACTAACTTGATATGTTCTAGGATTTGCTTGATATCTCACCGCAACAATTCGATTCACATTTCCAAGAAGCCAAAATTGCTAAATTGAGATATTTCGAAGAGCGTCAGGCAATACCGAACAATCAAGTATGTACACTTTTTTCTCAGATTGATGTTTTCAAGACAAATCATTTTTTGCATTTAACTTTAGACTTTTACCAGTGAAATTCCCGGATTCCATATGCAACCGAGAAGTATGTTTTAAATAAGAATCTATTTATTTTTATTTACATTAACTTTTGATTCTCTTTCTTCACTAGCACTCACGAACACAGCACTTCAGAACAAAAGAAACAATAATAACGGAAATAATTCTCAAACATCGTCCCTTGATTATCCTGGTTCGAATCCAGCATTCACAATACGTCGCCATTTACTCCAAGCAAAAGAAGAAAACTTAGCATTGGAACAATTGCGAAAAGTAAATCTAAGAATTTTGAAAATTTTGAAATACTGTTATGATTATTTAATATTCAGATGATTGAAACTCGACTTAAAGTCGCTTTACCAGAAGATGTTGGTCGTGCATTAAGCGATGGTGTTGTTCTTTGTCATTTCGTCAATCAGATTCGACCGCGTGCAGTACAAAGTATCCACATACACGTGCCATCTCAAGCAGTCGTACGTACATTTATTTATTCTCTTATAAGCATGCATCGTCTAAAAAAAGTTATTAAATTTTTCATTCTAGCCAAAATTATCATTAGCAAAAAGTCGACGTAATGTTGAAAATTTTATTGATGCAAGTCGTCGAATTGGAGTTCCAGATGTAAGTATTGTTTATGGTTTTGATTGACTGTTTGATTTTCATTCATTTTATTCGTTCCTGGCTTGCTAAACGAGAGGAAGAGCATGGGTGCTAGATTTTTATATAATATCACACACATATTTATATGCATGTTTCAGCCTTGTTTGTGTAAACTAACCGATGTTTTGGTCCAACAGTATGACACAGAGCAAATATCTGATTATTCAGTCAAGCGGAAAAAAATCGGCTATTTTCGTTTAACATTAACTATAAATTGTCTCGAATTAATTGCTATTGCAAATGAACATCGTCATAATCGTATAGTAACATTTTCATCTACTTCTTCTAATGATATGGAGGAAAATTATCAATCACTCGATAAACCTCTAGCTAATTTTCTCATTTTTTTTCTGCTCATCTCGTCTCTCATTGTAGTTTACTTTCGTTACAATGGATTATATTTTAGCTAAAATTTGTGACGCTTTTTCGCTTTTTATCTTTAGTTTTTATTCTATTTATCTCATAATGTGACTGCTGTATGCTTTTTAAATTATATATTTAATCAAACGTACATAACACACATTTTAGTAAATTAATTTTGCAGTTTTTCTTAAAGTACTGTTTTAAAATGCTCAAAAATAGTTATCTTTTTTTTTAAAGATGTTTCAGCGTATTAATAGATTCATTCTTCAAATTTTCTTTCACCTTTCACCTATCTCCCTTATGAGAATCTCAGTATCTTGTCTTAATATTGCTAAATATAACATGTATTCCTTTTTAACGTTCTGCATGTGGTATCTGTCACCGAAGCTATGAACGCGAAGATTAACTCTAACATGAGACAGAAATTGATCTGTGATGAATAATTTTATAAGAAGATGGATTATTTCACGTTAAAGTAGGATATAGACTTACAATTTGTTTTTATTTGAATGTGCATGAAATTTTCTTTTTTTTAACTAAAAAATATTTGCATGAGAATGCGTGTTAAAATATTTTCACTTCACTACTATTTTGTCTTGTCTTCTTTGTGTAGGTTGAACTTTGTACAGCCCAAGATATAATTGAAAACAAAAATACTATTCGTCTGGCACGTGTTGTACAACTTCTTGCTTATCCTGATCAAGTTTTTGATACTATTGAAAGTACAGCAGAACAACAAACAAATGTATAAGTTTCTTTTTCTTTCTTTCTTCTTATTGAAACTGAGTCATTCTACAACTTGTTGTTTCTTTGTGAAAGTCAATAAAACGTTGTCGTATGTTTTATTTTTACTTGTTAAACAATTGTTGTTGTTCTTGTTGTTGTTTTTCTCCTGGTGTTCGCCATTACATACTCTATCATTTTTGTAATTTATGTAAAACATAAAAATGTTTTTTAGACTAGATGACATCTGATGTCAATGGCTGTCTTTTCGTACTTTTTTTTTAATTTCACTACTGATGTTGTTTTTTGTTTTATTTTTCAATTCGAATATTCTGTTTTTTTTCTGTCAATATATTTAGAAAAAAACGTTTATTTCTTTGTGTTTATGGATTGATTAATAGTCTTGTATTACGTGTGTGATAATATTAAATCGAAATATTCTAGAAATAAGTATACAATTTTTATTAATATGATTTAATTTTAATTAGATGGTGCTTGATTGAATGATAGATAAAATATTTTGAGATTAGAAACTCGAGTGAGAAAATATTTTTCACTATAATGTACTCGATTCAGTTGTATGTCACTATATACTGCATTTATTTCTGTTTTGGAAATAGGAATAAATTCTTATTCTTATCATTAACATTATTTTGCTAACAAAATGATAAAATTCTATTTTAGATGATTTCTCACTCATGAGACACAGTTATCTATATATGAAGAACTCGAATGTACATATGCGAATGTATCAGCAGGCTCATTTCACATGGTTAAATATTATGAATTTCAGTTGTAAAATATGATGGAATTTTTCTGCAAACTACCATACGTTTGTCTTTTAAATTTTATTTTATTCTTACGTCCCCAAGTGATACCCGTCGTTTCTAATGAGTTATACCGCAATCGACAAAGCATATTCAGCTAGTAAAAAGCCTAAAGAGCTTCGTGCCCATGGCTCGAAGTATCGCATTTCCGAGTTATCGAATTTTTGATTTTTCCACAGATCCATCTTTTAATAGTCTAACAATAAAATGACCATATAATCATCAAAACTTTTGAAATTTTCTTTTTTGAAATTTAAGCTAATATAATTTCGACTGGCACATATGATGGATTTAGTACTAGTGTACAATTTTGACATTTGTAAAGGTCCAGCTTTCAGCTGGGTCTCTGGGAATCCTAGAACTCAAAAATCGCATAGAAGCAAAGTTTTCTTCCATCTGTAAAAACGATACATGAAATTATATTAGCTTCGAAAATTTCAAAAATTTTGATGACGTTTTGACGATTATATAGTCATTTTACTGTTAGACTATTAAAAGATGGATCTGTGGAAAAATCAAAAATTCGATAACTCGGGAACGAAACCTGATGAAAAGCTGAAACAATTTGTGAATATCAAGGATATACAGAAGCACTACAGAAAAAAAACTGAGCCTTTAACTTGTTGTTTTAAAAAAGTTATGAAATTTTTCATTTTCTCGTGTTTCAGTGGGAAAAGTCAGAAAAATGTCTATATCTTTTGAACAAAGAGCCATGGGCATGAAGCTCTTTAGGCTTTTTACTAGCTGGATATCCTCTGTCGATTGCGGTATAACTCGAAAGCTGGTACAATGTCTTATTGCACTACTGATTTGTTTAAAAAACGTTCGCAATACATGTAACGATTCATTTACTACATATTGGACGTATCGTGATCATATAATTATATAACTGACGAGCCTTCATTATAAAAGCAATATTGGTTTTTGCCTTTTGTTTGCTAGATATGGAATAGAGAAACAGATTTCAAAAAGTAATGTATGATTAAGAACATCTATATGACAAGAGTTTCATGAGCCCTTTCTTCCACTCACATTTTGTTTTGAATCATAATAGTATGAATTTATATTATATGCAAAAGTAAAATGAGATTTGAACATCCTGAATTAGGTTGTTTTATGATGCATTTTTTTAATATAAATGCACAATATTTGTAAATAAAATTAAAAATTGGCGACGAAGCAGATGTATAAATCGGCTGTGTTTAATTAAAAAAATTCAAGTTTTTTTCTATTTCAGATGCCGCCGAAGAAAAGTAAAGTTGTCGTGTCAAAAACAGCGAGTAAAAAAAATTCAAAAAAATCGATCGCTGTCAACAGAGACAGTAGTGATGATGAACAAGAACAGCAAACGGTATCGGTTGTGAAAAACGGTGGAAAAATAAAAAAATCTGTGACAGCTGTTCTTGATAAAACTGAAGATCAACAAAATGACGAAGATGATGTTGAGGTAGTGCCAAAGAAAGGAACAAAGCGGGCAGCATCAAAAGTAAGTCATTAAAAATTTCAGCAGCAGCCAATGGCAAAATGAATATTTTTCTTGATCTAGAGTCCCAAAAAGCCTGTTAAAAAAACAGCAACAACATCAACTCAGGGTTCACAAAATACAGCTGCCGATGGTGATGATGAAGAAGTTAGTGACACACAACAACTTAACGCAACTCCAAGAACAATGATACTAAAAACATCTGATCGACTATCGGCGAAAAATGAAAAACCAACTCTCAAGTTTGTTTCATGGAATGTTAATGGTATACGAGCGTGGCTAAAAAACAACGGTCTGGCTTACATTCAACAAGAAGCGCCTGATATCATGTGTTTTCAAGTAAAAAAATTCGACTTTACATGAAAAATTGAGTTTATCTATACAGGGGCTTCGCTACAAAACTGTTTAGTTGAACAATGTAATTAATGCGTCTGTGAGGAAATATAGGTGGTGGAAAATTGGGAGTATTTTTGGCATTAAAACTGTCCTAACTCAGAAATCAATCGAAGATACGAAAACTGAAGTTTTCAAGCTGTTTTTATCGAGTTTTAAATTCATATCTCACTCAATATACATTACAATCACCAAACTTTACAATATAATTAAACTTATATGCTAAACGTGATTAAGCGATTTGAAAACGAATGTTTTTGTTGAGAGATATGCGAGAAATCTATCCCAAAAACGTTAAGATTTTGTAAATTTGTTACCAATTGGATATAGAATACTGTATATTGTGAAGTTTTGAGATAATTGTAATGCAATTTAAATGCGGTATGAGTTTTTTAAAAGTAGGTGAAAACAATCCTCTAGACATAAGATGCAACATAGTCGATTATATGTATTCCACGCGACTAGAAAATTACCGTAAATTAGCCAAGTTTCAGCCCAGGATGAGAGAAATCTGATATCACACCCGAACCACTGAAAATCAATGTTTCACTTGATTCAACAACTGATTTTGCTTGTGAAAAGGTGTCTCTTTCAATTTATGAAAATCACAAGCCTCTATCTGATTTCGTTTAAAAGTTATTCAAAAAATAATTAGCACCATTTACTATTGAAATCGATAGTAATAGAAAAATTTCTCTTAGAAGATAAACAAAACTAGATTTTATATATAAAAACTGTTCAGAAAGAATGCTGTCCTTTTCGAGGTCTTAGCTATTTGGGTAAAACCGTCAGAGGTTCTCAGATGCATTACCAGCACACACATGCTAATTAATGTCTGTCTACTGATCACATATGAAACTATAGTTAAAATTTGGTAGGAAATGAAATGTGACAAATTACAAGTGCCCAATGATTGTACACCGCCTGGATATAAATCATATTGGTCATCTGGAGATACGGCTGGATATAGTGGTGTGGGTTTATTAACAAAGAAAGATGTAATTAAAGTGACGTTTGGTATTGATATTGAAGAACATGATAAAGAAGGACGAGTAATTACTGCTGAATATGACAAATTTTATTTTGTTGCATCGTACATACCTAACAGTGGTCGAAAATTGGGTAAGAAAAGAGTTTATCTGATGTTTTTTGTGTAAATAATGCAATCAGTTCACATTCTTTATAGTTCGTTTACCATATCGTCAGGAGTGGGATGCAGCATTTCACTTGTATTTGAAAAAATTGGACAAAATAAAACCAGTTATATGGTGTGGAGATTTAAATGGTAAAGAAAGAAAAGATCATTCGAATCCATTTTCTATTCAAAGACGTTCTGTTTAGTTGCACATCAATCAATTGATTTGTGTAATCCTAAAACAAATACAAAAACATCTGGTTTTACAAAAGAGGAGCGAGAGAATTTTTCAAAAATTTTGAATGATGGTAAGTAATAAGCATATTGAGATTACACGAAATGAGTACAATACTTTATACAGACACGTGGATTATTTTCCATTTTTAATAATTAATTTTGATTCTTTTATGTTTTGTTTAGGTTTTATTGATTCATATCGGTATATTTATCCCGATACAGTAGCCGCTTATACCTTCTGGTCTTATTTTCGTCAAGCACGTGAAAAAAATATTGGTTGGCGTCTTGACTATTTTGTAATTAGCGATCGTCTTAAAGAACATGTGTGTGATGTTCTAATACAAAATGAAGTATATGGTAGTGATCATTGTCCAATTGTTTTACTTTTGGCAATATAAGTACTCAGTGTTTACTGTTATATATAGAAATAAGACTTATCTGTGATATTAATTAACTCGGTGTTGTTCTTTTTTGTCTGAGATATTCGTCTGAGCTTTACTATTTTTTTCTTTTAATTGATTGTACATTTATAAAATGAAGTTGGCTACCACAGTTAGTATGCAAACATAAAACTAGCCTAGTATGAAATTGGACAATTCTTTTTGTCTGAGAAAAAAAGAACGCAATAAAGTTCAAACTTAATTTTTATAAAATGAAGTTGTTTGTACAGTCATAGATATTTATTTTCAAATCAGGAGATCTCTTATCTTTCTTTGAGAACTTTATATGTGTTATTATTATCAAATGTTAAATATTATTATAATAAATGAAAATAAGAATTACATTTATAAACGGTCTTGATTAACATGAATATTTTTCAACGTATCAATTGTCGATGCTGAGAATATATTGATTTTTAAAAGAATTTCATATCAACAAGAGGATTCCTACCATTTTTCTCTAAAGTTCACCACCTGCTACAACGGTCTAAAAAAGTAAGATCATTCTTCCAACTCAAGAATCAGGATAGCTAGCGACTTTAAATCTTGTGTAGATGTAGATCTAGTCATATGCTACATCGCCCCGCCAGTATGGATCCCTTGTACTATTTGCTTCGTGATATATAAGCGTTTCATTTCTTTTCCGTAAAATGCTAATAACTCCTCATCTAAAAGAGATGAAAGCTTTTTCTATTTTCTAAAGATGTAGTCTTGACTCTTGGTTACTACCTCCAGTATGAATTTAGTTGTTATTGGTTGCTGAAAGATCACTATTGCACGATAGAAGATCACTTTTAAAATTCGGGTCTCCTTCATAAGAAAAATTCATAGTTCAGCTTAGCAACATAATTTTGACTTCAAACTTATATCAGATATCCTGCGACGTCTGAATACTATATACTCAAAATATAATAGTTAACTACTGTATGGTTCTAAAAATTCATTGAGAATGAGTAGACACTATTGAAACATGCGTGGGAACACGAGCTTGAGAAACTAAAGATCGTCTTCTCTACTATAGAATTCACATTCAATGAAATGCTTCATCCCACTGCTGACGATATGGTAAACGAACTAGAGAGGATGTGATTGATTGCATTATTTACACAAAAAACATCAGATAAACTGTTGCTTACCCAATTTTCGACCACTGTTAGGTATGTACGATGCAACAAAATAAAATTCGTCATATTTAGAAGTAATCAGTCATCCGTCTTTATCATGTTCTTCAATATCAATACCAAACGTCACTTTGATTACATCTTTTGGACATCATAATGATGAAAAAAATATGCTTATGACAATGTATGGCGATAGTTTGGTGACAAACTCAACCAAATACTATAGAGAAATAAGAGAGCGTGTTTTGTAATTTTGTCTATGTTTATATATAACTCGAATGTATTTTGAATACTTCAAACTATCTTTCCTTAGACATCATTTTAGCATGATAAATTTTCTTTCTATTTATTGAGAAAATATGTTGTAGTTCGTTTCGTATTGGATGATAACACTATTTTTCGTTTTTATTAAAATGTTGCTGTCATTTTAAGATGCCCTTAGACACAACACGCAGACAACAATATTATGTTGTTTTTTTCCTAATATTTGTATCAAAAATTCACCAATATATTTGAAGAAAAAAAAATCCATGATAAATGTTTTTATGATGATTAGCATTGCCTGACTGAATATTCGTTTCTAATATGCTCATGAAATATAGAGGTAAGTAAATTTATTAAGAGTGAACTAGCATGAAATAAAAGAAAACAAAACAAGATTTTAAATTGGTATACATAATTATCGATAAAAGGAAAAGAAAGAAACGAAGCGTATATATAATAGTATAGAGACAAAAAGAATATAATATTTATTAAATATTCGCCGCAAGCACTTACATCGATCTACATGCACCCTATAGTTGACAGGGAAAATACAAAAGAGAAATAGAAAGTATCAGCTAACACGAAATCAGCGTCATCCAAGTTAAACGGAAGCGTAATATTGAAAAAACAAAATGGCATCTAATTATCTTTTAATTTTGTCTCATTCATCATTATCACTTAAAATACTTCGCCAATTCTAATTTGAATCCATCAAAATATCATTTCAACATTTTTAATATGTAATAGCACACATCTATTCATGTTAAATCTCAAAATTCGATACGAAAACAAAGAGGAATAAAAGAAAAAAAAAGCGAAAATTAAATCGTCTTTTTTATTATATCTTTCTTATCAATCGGTTAGAATAAAAACCATACACTGTAAGAATGGTATTTTCTAATTGGGTTGATGATATAAAACGTTGATGAAGATTGAAGATAGAAAAAATCGTGTTTCAATTTTCAAAAAAAAATAGCATTACATAAAATAAAACAAGGGTGAATGAATGACTGGTAGCCAACGGTATCAACTTGGATACGATTATATTTTTGTGAAAAATTTGAAGAACATGTCCATTTTCCGAAAGAAATGGAAGATTGATATTTAAATTTATAGAGAGACTTCTAGGGGAAAACGATCAGATCAAATTTTTCGCTAATTTGTGTATATTTTGGCGTTTGCAACTCTTCAAAATTTCTATGTTGGTGATTACAACTCCTGAATTTGTAGTTTCCTTCCCTTAGAATATGGTCTCCGTTTTTTAAGTAACTTTGATGTTACAATATATTGTATTGATAAAATATCATCTCATATATCTAAATCATATATTGTACATTGAAATAAATGACGAATTTGGTCCAGATTCATCAATCTATATTCTTTATATAGAAAAGAATTACAAAAAAAACATTATGGGAATAAATGTATTCGTATTGATTCCAGCACATATATTTTCAATAAATCTCTTTTTCTTCGGTGAAGTCTGATTACTGACGTGGTACTTCAACGTTGAAAGTTTTCACATTTTTTTGCTTCACAGGAGCAACATTAACAAACAACACTAACAAACTTTTTTAAAAATACTTTAGACATTAAAGACTAGAACTTCACTTATTTGCATTTCTAATAAACTGTGACCGATGTTGTTTAACGCCTCAGAAGTAGTTGAACAACAAACATTATTTTAAATGACTAGAATCATTGACCAAGACAAAGAGAAATAGTTTATTAAATCTCAAAATATTAACATTGGGATAGGATAAGTTGTCAAAATCCATTAATACCTTTTTTGTTATAGATGTTTTGTTTTTCTACTAGTGTTTATTGTTTTGTGTCAAATACGGAAAATATTGCAACTTTTTTTTTTTTCTTCTTCTTTGATATTATTTATAATAAAAGAAAATGTCGCATTTTATTTTCAAAAAAATAATTTTTTTTTTTCTCATTTCTAAATGATAAATACTCGTTCTGGTATCAAGAAGGGATTCTTTCTTCTTCTGCACTCTTTTGTGGGTTAATTGAAGGAGAAAAAAAAGAGAGAGAGAGGGAGAGAGGGAGAGAGGAAGAAGATATGTTTCTTTTTAATTTCGCTATATTTTTTTTTAAAAGTATTTTTAACACGACGATCGATATAGTATATCTACGTATACTGGTATTATTTGAAAATAAAAATAAAAAAAAAGAAAAAGTTTTTCCTATCATTTATTCTATTATTGTCCTCTCTTTTATTTCTGATCATCAGCATCATCATTAACAATAAAAGAGAGAAGAAGAAAAAAGAAGAAGAAGAAGAAAAATAGCAGATTTTCATTATTAAATAAATCAGTTCTTTTTGCTTTCTTCTTCTATTCGATTTTCATACGCTTGTTAAATTTCGGGTTATTTTATTCTCAAATACACACACACACACACACACACACATACAGTATTACTCTAATCGACTCATTATTTATAGAATTGGTGCAAGTTACATTACTGATCATATTTTATAAAATAATAATTAATACATTCATCACACATTTAGATCGGTAAGTAATATATTATTCTATTCATGTTTATCTATTGAATGTCTAAAATTTATTCGTAAAAAAAATAATGAAAATTTTAACAAATTACTTACTTAAGTCAATAGATCGTCTTAATCTTAACTTATTAATTATCCGACATTTGTTGAGTATAGTGCAAATGAATATAAAAAACACACCCACACATCACAAAATTGTTTAAAATATTTCTGTAAAACCTTGAAATTAGAATGTCTCTCCATTTCATATTTGCTTGAATGAAATATAAAAGAAGAGAGTGAATAAATGAAGAATACTTTGTAATAATTAATAAATACTTATTACATTTTTTGTGCACGAATACACACACCGCATACATCCTGCAATATTAAACAGTCCGAATACTTTTTTTTTCTCGTTTTTTTCGTATTAAAAAGTATTGCCTGATAAAATTGTACGGATGTTCGAATCTCATTGATGTGAATAGTTGATTTAGTAACTTGTATTTTCTATAAAAACTCTAAGTATAATTAAACATATGGTCTACAATTAAAAGTCAAATAAAACAAAAAAAAATTTGTCTTTATTTAAACAAACTATTTGAAGTTAAAATAGAACTTAATATATCGTATTGTCATTTACTTGTAGGCATTTTTCACATTCTAATAGAACTTGATTATTAGATATTTTAGTTGTTGTTCTAATCAAGAGACTATGTTCTGTTATTAAAATCAATTCATTTAGTAGAAAGTCGAGATCTTTTACGAACTTATAAGTGGATGTTATGGGAAAAGAGAAAAATTAATTTATAAATTGATATAAAAATATATACTATTTTTAGTTCAAATATCCTCTTTTATTAAATCTCATATGTATTAATAATTTGACAATATTTTAAATTTACTATCTATAATGATGGAAAAATATATGTCTCACGTGAATATCTTGTTTATCTTCATATTTTTTACTCTTTCATTTAGAAAACAAAATGTATTTGATAAGTAATTTATTAGTCTAAGTTTGCCTATTCCAATGGGAAATTTAACTACTCATTCATTGTAAATATTAA